GGGGGGGGGGGGGGGGGGGGGGGGGTACTCATAGTCGTGCATGCCGTAATCGTTAGACCATCGACCTCGAATCGCTACAAAGCCGGGACGGAGCACGCCGGGTTCTCACCGGACCAAGCTCTCACATCACCAAGCGCGAAGCGCCGTGCGGTATTCGGCGAGTCGCATGAAGGGTGCGCTGCATCCTGCTAAGGGTGTTCCGCATCTTGTGCTTACTTCCTTGCGTACGGATGACAGCTGCGTATAACTCGATGTATTTTCTGGTGCTTGACCAATTTAACACAACGTGCGATTATCCCCTTTGCGCGGAGTGAGGGTTCTCGACCCCGCACAACCAAATCTACTCGACCACCATTCATGGTTACCGCAAAAAAAAAAGAAGGCAAAAAAACAAGCGGTAACCTGGTTGCTGAGCTCACGAAGTGATCGGCTTGTTTTACAACATCGCTGCCAAGCGACGAAAATCCATGGGGGGGGGAAGGCATACTGCGTACGATCCCGCCGTTGCCTACCCCTGCTACGGGCTATTCGCCCACCTGGCCAGCGAAGAGGCGAAGTTTTCCCCCGACATCGCCAAGGGATTGTTGGACCCTGCCTCGTTCTCTGGGGCGACGGGCATCATGAGTCCTGCTCGGGACTTGCACAACTGCAGCAAATAATGTTTTGGGAAAAGACGGGGGTGAGGGGGGGAACAGAAACACAAGACTCAGCTGGCGTATCAGCGCCCTGTCATGATAGAGAAAATGGTGTGTTGTGGGACAAGTTTCGATGATTGGATTGTGGTTAAGCTCACCATGCGAGCCACATGCTTCGCATGCTACTAAAGTCGACGGTACTCAAAAAACGTTTACAATCCCTGTTGTATTAAGTGATAAGTGCGAGCTCGTCAACAGCAAGCAGCAGCTGCAGCAGCAACAGCAGCTCGCACCACACACATTCCGTGTAGAGGGCAAGATGGTACGATGAATTTTCAACTGGAGCACCACCCCTATCGGGGCCACTTGATCAGTCTGTGTCCGCCACCCATCCGCGTTACATAAGCACTTCGAGCATCGGCAGCACTACCCAACAGTAGCTGTATCGCACATCCCCTCTCACTTGAAGCCACGGTGATTGTGTTGGATCAAGTTCACGCAAGCACTGGCACAAAGTGACGGCAAAAAAAAAACGGTCGCCGTGGCACAGTAGCCTTGGCAGGGTTTTTCGTTTGAGCAAACATGTTGGATATAGTATGCAATTGGGGAAGCTGGGTTGTAGGTTTAGTTAGGGTTACACAAACTGGTTAACACACCTCCACCACCACGCTTTGCGGGCGGACTGCCTCCACCACCCGGCGAACATGCCCAGCGCTTGTCTCCGAGGCGTGGCTGGTGCCCAAGACGTAGACCTCTAATGGCTCCGTGTATCCGTCGCTGCGCCTGTCGGAGTAGTCGGCGGGTCTCCTGGCCACCTGCAAGGTGCCTGTGGTTATTGGGGGTCGGAAATGTGTTGGGTTATGAGGTTCATGAGGAGTCCAAGCGACCGGAGTGAGGAAGTCGGTGTGCCTTAGCGAAGACCACAAAAATGACAGGTGTGTGGTTAAGCCCTCAAAATGCAAGACGTGCACACAAAGCTCGTCAACAGGACTGCCGCGGCCAAAAGCTACCCTGGGTGTCGGGTAAGGCCTAACCTAACACCAAGGCGCGGGCAAGCAGTTCTTGTCGGTGTCATTGAACCCGACAGTGAGGGATGGATTTTGTTGCACAAGGTGACATTTGTGGTTGGCGACAAGGCTGGTGAGTGGTTTGTAACAAAAGAGATCAACACCACCGGCATTTCACGCACGAGCAACCGTGCTTTCGCAGTGTCACCAACCAAGGTGGCTACAACATCCCGCGGACTAATCTCTCGCCAGCCGCTCCAACAACTGTAGTCTAACCGGCACACGCTCCTTCAAACGCTGTTTCGCAGCGTGCGTGTTGTGAGACAGCAGGAGACAAATTTTCTTGCTCGCTCACCGGACTCTAAGAGATCCTGAAGCAACGACAAGTCCACGACATGCCCATCGTCCTCGAGAGGGGAAGGGGGCTGGTAACCAGTCTTCTGCTCCGAGTGCACGCCTTCACCACCGCCGCCACCGCCGCCAGCTGGCTGCTGTTCCACCGCAGCAGCTACGGCGGCTATTCCTCTCCTCCTTCCGCCATGTTGCCGGTCGAAAGACAAGCGGCGATGGCTACGACCTCGCCAAGTGATCTGTGGCGATGACGCCACGAAAGCTGGCGCCGACGGGGGCAAGAGCGGGGCGAACGAACAGGTGCGGCCAAGACGGCCCATCGCCGTCGCTGGCGGCTGTGTCGAAGCGAGGTGCTTGCCTGTTTTTGACGCGTTGACGCACACCAGGGTTATTTACGCATTAATAAATTGCTCCGCTGCTTTGGGACTGTTGGTTTCGTCCCCCCGTCTCCGAAAATCCTTCCTTTCCAAACATCTTGCGAAGTTTCTTTTCTTCGGTCCACCTTTGATTCGGACCTGCAGCTGGTCACAGCCCGCGCGTCACGCAACCGAAGACCATACCCCACACCCCACACGAGTCGTCAGCCAGCACATCCATCACCAAGAGCCAAAAGACCACTCTTGCACAGCGCGGGCCTGCTCATTCGGTAGAGAGAAACAGGTGTATCGGAAGACAAACAAATCCAAAGCTATGGCTCGTGGAACTGCATTCTTGGCCCTGGCCTCCGGGCTGATGCTCGAGAGGTGAGGAGTCGCTGAAAGTGTGTTGCTTCTTCCCTCCGGTTTTCTCCTGCAGGTTTGGTTGTTTTTCATTTGATCACCCCAACTGCTGTTGTTTCTCGTCTGAGAAGCCGTATGCGTTGTGTTTCCGTAGTGGTTGTTTGTGTGGTGGTTGCGTGTGGGTGGTAAGTGGTAAGGCTTTTCCCCGAAGGTGTCTCGGTTTAATTATTTTTTCGTTCTGAGACACGTTCCCCGGCCCTCTCTTTTTGCCTTTGTTCTCTCTCTGCTTGGAACATGCGCCGTCAGGTCGATGGCGGTGATGGACGTGGGCGACGAGCACGTCTGCGCAACGATCGGTTCCAGTGCCAAGTGCTGGGGTATGTCACAGCAGTCAGTCGTCGGCTAGGCTCCTCTGTTTGCTTCTTCTTGCTGTCCAGGCGGCGTCGTGTGTTGACCGTTGAAGCACACACACACACATCTTTCTTTTCTTTTTTTGCTCTCCGTGCTTGCCGTTGCCTGTTGGTTCTTTTTCCCATGTACGTGTCGTCTTTCATTACAATAGCACGGACTTTTGGTTCTACCCCCTCATTTGTCGTATAAATTATCATATCTCTCGTTGGGGTGATGCATGGTTGACCAGCTCGGCAGGCAGTTGCGCGGCCGGCGCGCTTGAGAGCGCTTTATGCACTGAAAAAACGTCACGAAAGCGTCACACACACACAAAAACAACAGGCCGGCTAAAGTTCCCCGCCCCACTATTAAGGAATAATAAAAACACACACAGAAAGACTACCCATTCGAGATATACCCACAAACAGTATGTGTTATTCTCGTCGCCCGCCGATCTCTCTATCTTTCCCCTGCTCAATTCCGCTGCGCGCCACGCAAATACAGCTGTGGGATCTGACTAATGATCTCTTTCGTTTTCAGTTTGTGGTATTTGTGTGCTACGTACGATACAATGTAGAAGACTTTCTTGGTACGCCGGTAAACATGGGCCGTGGTATGTATTTGTACAACGGCAGTACAGCAGATTCGCGATGTTGGCGTTGCTCGGTCTCCCTATGCATAGCTAGCTCTCTGTCTTCTGTGCATCTGCTGCTCTCGTGCACCTCAATCAACGGCCAGAGCAAGATATATCCGCGGAGGCGGTAAAACCTAAATATTCACGGTAGCTTTTCGGCAGCAAATGTCATGCCGATTGTCTTCACAGACGAGAGGCGGAAAGAGAGCCCTGACGGTTGTAGGCAGTATTGCGTACTTTGTGAAAAAAAATACAAACACAACGCCGAAAGCAGTATGACCCCCCACCCCACCCTGTTTTATCTCCCTCGTCATCTGGATCCTCCTCCTCAGAGTAGCGATGATGTCCTTAGATACATTCGAGCGTACCGGCTGATTTTCAAACCAACACTCCCCCCGTCCCCTGACATCACCCCCCTTTCCCCCTTACCGCCCCTCACTGCGCGGCGACCCAGGGAACAACCGCTGGGGGCAGCTCGGACGCGGTGACAACACCACCCTCATCGGCGACGAACCGGACGAGATGGGCGACAACCTCGTCGCAGTGCCGGTTGGGGGCACCGTGGCTGAAGTGGCCCTGGGGGAGGACCACACCTGCATGCTCCTGGACTCCGGAAATGTGGTGTGCTTCGGCAAGAACGACTCCGGTCAGCTCGGCCTCGGGGACACCTCGACCCGCGGCCAGATCGCGGGGGACGTGGGCGAGGCGGCTGACCTGGGCGCGGGACTGTCGGCGGTGGCGGTGGCGTTGGGGTGCAGGCACACCTGCGGCTTGCTCGACGACGGGACCGTCAAGTGCTTCGGGTACAACAACTACGGGCAGCTGGGCCAGGTGAGGAGCTGATGTTGCTTGAAGTGGCGGGGGCAACAAAGATGCGGGATGTGATACATGGGGGAGGGGCACTGGACATGCTGCCCAGTGTTTGAAACCGTCTCTTCTGTTGTTGGGTGCATATCCTGACCCATGTTTGTCGTATTTTGGTGTCTGAGGCGCGAGCAAAATTGTATCTATACCAAGGTTATTTCTGGTCGGGTTGGCACCCGTTTTCGAATGCTAGACACCCCAACGTTGCACCAAATCTCGTTTCCCGTGGTTCTCGAGCACCCAACTACCCCCCCCCCCCCCCACCCCCCCCACCGGGGCCCCCCGAAAAAATGGGAAAACAACCCGGGGAAAAGGGGCAACAACCTTCCGGC